CAGCTCTTTATCGTGCCACAACAAGAGACATGGGCAAGGGGTAATGTAATGCAGCTTTTATTATTTGATGCACAATTTCTCCCCGCATCTGTGCTATCGGCTAAGCGCAAACATTTCGTCTGAATTATCTCAGTTGTGAAAAAGATTACATGTACTGCATAAAAAACTTCCTACAAAACCTCCACCCAGGTAACGCAGGTGCTGTATCGTGTCGCGTATACCCCGTACCTTGAACCACAATTAGTGCGAAATTTTCTCTGCATAATCCCAGTGAACTGTCGCATAACAAGTTTTTTTTTGCATGGCTGTGAAGCACATGTTATGAAACAACCTTCACAAACCGTAGATTGCGTTTTTTTTTGTTTGCTTTAGCTTTGAAGAGAGAGAGAGTGCGTGTGTGTGCGCGCGCATGTGCGCGCATGCCTTTTAGCGAAGAAAATGTGTTGATGCTTTGTATCGCCACTTCATACACGAGTTGTGGTACCATTTAACGAGATAGTGTCTCCCAATCATGGTCACTCGTTTCAAGACGTCCAAGTAAACGAAGGATACCGAGAAACCTGTTAACCACCGAGGCTTGTATTGCATCGCTACTGAAAGCGTATTATTTTTTGTTTTGTTTTTTTTTTTGCACCCGCAACACAAACAATCGACCAGCTCAATATAACATTTTAGGAACACTCTGTTGTAACATGTCTGTGCAGTGTTTTGACGTTATCCGGAGCGCGCATGTGCTAAAAATTAATGACATGCTGCGCCCTAAAAAAAAGCCGTTAGCAGAAGCGCATAAAGTAATCAATAATATTGAGTGCTTTGCTTTAGCAAGATTGAAAATTGGCCTAGATGGAGATACAATATAAATTAAAAAAAAACAGCGCCATACGGCCTAAACGAAGGTAGGTAGAAGAGAACGCAAGCGCCGAGTGTCAGATTTGTGAGCCAGTGCTTGTGTTGTTTTATACCTACCTTCGTCCCGTCCGTTTGCGCGCTGTTTGTTTCCATAACTTCGCTTTATTGCCAGCCAGCTCAGATTTTCTTGCGTACTAGATGGAATATACATACATATAAATCAGTGAACTGGTGTACGTCAATGAAAATACTTCGTTTCGGCAAGAAGTTTAAGAGGAAGCACTGCCCCCCGCCCCTAATTCCCCCCCAAGCAACACCTGTACCCTCCTCTTTTCTGCCAGATCCCCGCCGCGGTGTTCTAGTGGCTAAGGTACTTGGCTGCAGACCAGCAGGGCACGGGTTCGAATCCCGGCTGCGGCGGCTGCACTTCCGATGGAGGCGGAAATGTTGTAGGCCCATGTGCTCAGATTTGGGTGCACGTTAAAGAACCCCAGGTGGTCGAATTTTCCGGAGCCCTCCACTACGGCGTCTCCTATAACCATATGGTGGTTTTGGGACGTTAAACCCCACATATCAATCAATCAAATCTTTTCTGCCAGATTCAACACGTGTTTGCACTCTGCAAGGCGTGATCGAGCCTACGCCCATGCAGGCTGAGACAAAAAACGAAGAATTTCCATTACGCAGTAAAATTTTCTCCTGTTTCTTCCAATTTTAACACTCCGCAAGCTCCCTGTCCGGTCTAAATTAGAGTGCGCGTCGTCTGTTTGAGATGCCACGCAATACCGTCACTTTAACTAACACTCGCGAAGCAGTGCAAAGCTGACCTGCCCACTTTGTGCTCTCTAGTTGGAGCCGTGCTTCCAGTGATTATTGACCGAGCGTTAGTCTCACTGTGTTCGTCCCGCCACCGTACCTAAAAATACCGCGCTCACTTCAGTTGCACAAACTTTATTACAACTTTCAAATATTCAACTTCTGCTTGACCAGATTGACGTTTTCTCTAGTAGTCGTTGTAATCATCCCCTCAAGTTCGCTGTTGACGCATGCGTCACCAAATCGTGTTTCCGTTATTTCTTTCCGCATACTAGCAGCGAAAAGAACCAATTCACCTTTTACGTTACTTGCATCACTGATGCCTTCATATTTAAAAATGCTGTTAGGACCCGTGTGCTCAAATTAGGGTACATATGTTAAAAAACCCAGGCAGTGGTGTTCCGTGCCGGGAATTTCTCTTTATTGGGGAATTTCTGCCTGTCATTTTAAGCCAAAGGGAAAAAGAGAATCTTCGTGATATTGCACGGAATTTCAGGAATGGTTAAATTCTCCTATGACGACCAATAATTAGCGGTCGCAGAGTGTCTTCATCTGCTGTAAACATTTCTGACGCATGCACCACGCAAGCATAGCCTTTGAGATTTGTTTCTGAAATTTTACGTGGAGCGATTCCTAGTTCACTAGTGGTGTTAGACTTGAAGCCCACAATATGTTGTGTACTAACAGTTTACGAATTAAAAAAGTCATGCTTTTGTTGTGCGGCAGTGGAGGGGCTAGTCATAATTTCAAATGTCGCCGGTAAGTGAGACACGTGTAAATATAGTAGGTCAAAATTTCCGGAGCCCTCCACTACGGCGTCTCTCTTATACATATGGTTGTTTTGGGACGTTAAACATCTCCTATTAAAATGCTATCAGTGACGCTTCTCACTGTTCTTCTCTGTATAATTATGGTGATGGTGATGTTGCCACACATGGAGTAGACCCGGCATACCTGGCCGGTAATTTCTCCTCCTGGTGGGCATCTCCAAGTCTTATGAATATGCTATACAAAGGTCTCCTATCGCCCACCTGTGATCCATGGGAGTTAAAAGGGCAATACTTTGCGCTTCATACACGACTTTCTCAGCAGTCGTACTATTCGTGTTCGTCTCGGAGACAGTGTTAGTGAGGAGAGCAGCATTTCTCGCGGTGTAACACAGGATTGTGTCTGTGTAATGAGTTCAGGTACTCGGGATATAAAAATAAACGAACAAGTTAATAAATTTACATATAATACATCCTCCAGGTGACGATATGTACCTCTCGCGATAGCTTATAGCAGAAAACGCCTCGTTCTGGTGAGTTCGAGGTCACGCAGTCGATTCCCGACAATGGCGGTCGCGTCTCAATGTGGGAAGAAAAACACTGCTATACCCGGATTTAGGTGCGCGTGAGAAAAATCCAGGTGTTCAAAAATAATGCAAAGTCCCCCACCGTCACAACGTATTTCTCGCAGAAAAAAAAAAACCATAATCACTTAATGCCTTCTTAGTGTTTGTCTTCAATACAGCACAAATAAATAAACTTGATAGAGGAGAGTGTGGTTGTAGGGCAGTTGGTTATTCATTTAGCAAAGGTAACCGCAAAACCACGCGCTGCACAGAGACTACTCGGAGCGAAGATGTCACAAGCGTGTATAGTAGCCTTGACGCCTTGTGCGCGTGCGCTTGTGTGTCGGTGCGCGCGTGTGAGAGGGGGTGGGGGGTAGTGGGCGTGTGTGTGGGCGCGTTCCCACTTATCTTTTATGTCTTTATGTGCGCGTTTTATGTGATGTTTACTTACCATGTTGATTATTTAATGTAGTTAGTACTTATTGTTAGTGTAGCACGTCAGTGCCATTTCATTTCATGGCTTCGTGTTGTCTCTTTCTGTGTTCCGTGAGATTTTGCGGTTACCTCAGCGAATTCAACAAACTTAGTTTTATAACTTTTTTCAGTGATTTAGGCAGAAACCAGGGCTACACAGAGCATATTGACTTGCCGTTGACAAACTTGGAAACCTGTCACGCGATGAAAAATGTGGAAAAAAAAAAAACGATCTCAAAGGACACTTCACCGTTGTCTTCGGTGAGCACGGTCTCGTCTAACGAAAGCTCCGAAATGACGTAATCTTCGCGTGAAGCGAAGCAGTTCAGCGTCTGTGCGGGTAATATGGCATGGGTTAGGGTGGAGGAGGGCGTATGCTCGAAATAGCGCGTTTGTCCGTCTGTCAGCACGTGTCACCGGAAAGAAAGAAAAATTAGAGAACGCGACAAGTTCAAAGGAGAAGCACAACAAGCAGCTCGCCTACGGGTGTAACACCGGTATGCCCCCATGTGACCCAGGAAACGTCAGTGGTGTAAAGGTGGTATGGTGGGCTGCTTTCACGGCAAGGCGAAGCGTAGGCACACGTACAATTGAACCTTGCCACCTATACGCTACTGCACCATATATGCCCCTCTCGTATTTTATAGGATTTCTAGTCGGCGCAAACCCGTGGGAACAAAGAGATGGGCTCCACTGCATGACACCATCTGTGCTTCTTTTTTCCCACACTTTTTCTATTATGCTGGCATTGTGGTTCGCTCTTTTTTTCTGAATTTTATATTCTTGTTGCTTTGCTCTTCAGCAGGCTTTACCTAGGAAAAAAAGGGAAACGGAATTCTCGCTTTTATTTTAGTGGAAAGACAGTACTATAGGTTAAGCCAGTTCTATAAAAGGGACGTTTCTTCCTCATTTGGCACTAAAGAGAGATAAACAGAAAATTTCATTGAGGTCCTGAGAAATTGGCCAGAAGGGGGGGGGGGGGCTTCGAGAAGATAATCATATTTAAATAAGTCACTCATCTCGTACTCATCGTTCGTGCTTTGGGTATCAGAAAAGAAAGGCAACAACCCTACATGGAACTCGAGTCATCTACTCACCCACCGTTTCTCAAAGCTAAATTCAGAAAACCGACAGCGCTGCCATCTGTCTATTTCTTTTACTGGGGCGTCTGTACTTTAGTGCTGCTTATATGTGAAGTGTAAACACTCAACTCAATTTAAAAAGAACGCACAGATTTGATTCTATTGCTTGCGGAATGTTGAGTGACAGTAATTGAAGTTGCAAAGTTTAACTGGAAGAAATTTGGGCACCGTGAGTTTTAATGGACTAGACGAAATAGTCGCGTAAATTTGCGCGCGCGCGTGTGTGTGCGTGTGCGTGTGTTTAGATTAACTTCAGCCACTTGGGGTACCCAACTGCCCCTCCTTTAAGTGGTATCGGACGTCCACCGACGGAACACTCTTCAACTAAAATGCCAAATGTAAATGGGCACGCTCCTAAAGAATAGCTATAGAAGTGGTTCACTTACTGGCACGTTTGCTTGGAGTAGGCGTGTCCATCTTTGTAGTCCGTCCTCCGCAGTCGCTCGTTAGTAGCGTTCACCTTCTCCCGAATGGTCTCCATGTCGCACTCGTCCGCTGCAAGGCCACGCGACGCCGAGTTACCAGAACGAGCAGTGGTTACCGGCTTTTCAAAAAACGTGATAGTTGACTGGATGGTGCATAGCAGAGTCCCAGATCCGGTTAGAGCAAGCTTAAAAGTCACACTCGAGTAACATAAATGCAATTTATTTGTACATGCAGTGATTTGTCTTTGCTCACATCACAAATTTCTGTCATAGAATCGCGGATAAACGTAGGCACTACCTGATGTTTGTCAGTCATTCAGTGGCCTATATCACAGTGTAATGAAGCGGAGTTCTTTGGCTATTTTGCTGTGACTACTGATTTTCCATGTACAGTGACTCTCTCAATAGGACACATGAACTCCCTCTCAAAATATTTATACTCTCTTCGGAGAGCCCTGAGCCCCGAAATATAGTTAACGTGTCTCCTTAAGAGAATGAGGGCTGGGCAGAGATACTCAGAAAAGTATTCCAGAATATAGATATCAACATACGTTTGCTGGAAGCATAAAGTAGAGATATTGAGATATATTTGTCTTAGACTTGACGAGATATTTTCGCAATATTCTACCGAAAAGACGAGAAAAAATGATCCCGGTGTACAGATGCAACAATACAGGTGCAACAATATAAATACTGTTATAATTCATTTCTCGCGATAATGATGTTCCATAAGGATAGTGTTTAGGTGCAGGATAATGCTGTGATTACCATTTCAGCGCATTGAAACTTGCAAGTAAATGTTACTCCTAACGGACACCAATGAATAAACAAAAACTAGTATAGATTTACACTAGACACACTTAAGCTCTGTTTTGCAGTGAATGTTGAGATAATTATGCTTTAGTGACAGTAGCTTAGACAATGCCGTTTCACTACAACACAAAAGACTCTCGAAGTCGCGAATCGGCTTACTGGCCTAAAAAAAAAATGGGCACTCGGCACCAGCTCTGAGAGACAGCGACTTTAGTGAGTATTGATTCTTCTGTCAGTGGCATCAGGTGTTTCGCTGCATGAACAACTCTACGCGCGCGAAGAACCCTTCGCTGCTCTCACTTTGATTGGCGTAACAAAACAGGTATTGATTTTTCCTTTGAAAACACTTCATCTCAGTTTCGACAAAAAAAAACTCAACAAAGTATTTGTCTCTTGCATGGTGTCCCGATATAATTGACACATCGCAAAAGTACTTATCTATAGATATATAGCTACATTTCAACCGTTTATCGATACAGAAACAGATACTCAGAAGCATCTTTAAGACTTTAGTGCGTTCATAATTGAAAATTTTGTTGAAGCGCACTAAAAAACAGACGGACAGAAGAGGCTGACAAGGACAGCCGTTGCTCTCACAACTGAAGGTTTATTATTCAGAAAAAGAAATATTTAAAGCGGATACATGGTCTTTCGCGCATGTGCGTCAGAACAGGGTGCAACAGAAACCCCTCTTGTCAGGAATACAAAAATTGTACATATTATGCGTCATTTATTATATTTTACAAGTAGTAGGTGTCGAGATACGCGTACTTTTTATCAAGCAGCACTATCGTATATAGCTTTGCTAACACAGTCCTGTCTCCTCTTTGTCAGCCTCTTCTGTTCGTCCGTTTTTCAGTGCACATGCCTCGACAGCCCACGAGGCAGTGAAAGCCCTGCTGTGTTTCCTGAGAAAGACAGGCTTGTGTGAACGCCTCTGACATGTGGTAGAGTTCTACACGCTGCAGTGAAATTACTGTCAGTCTCTCCCCACCCCCTTTTTCCCTCTCTTCCCTCTTTCTCGTCTTTCTTGTCCCCTTCCCTAATCCCCCAGTGTAGGGTAGCCAACCGGATGTCTTTCTGCTTAACCTCCCTGCCTTCTCCCTTTTTGTTGCTTCTTTCCTTCCTTCCTAGTGCGCTTCAACAAAATTTTCAGTTATGAACGTAATCCGACAGGCCCAACTTGCCATCTTGCTGCAATACACTAGGTGCGGTTCTCTTGTAACGCCATACTGCCCAGCCCTGAGGAGACTCTTACACGAGGCAAATGAGTTGGGACTTGCGGCAAAGAGTAACCCACACAAATCTTTTTCTCTACAGTGGACTTGAGTGAGTATCTCTCTTTCTTAGGAACAACTGACGAAGCCAACAAATGTTGAAACCAAGGAAAGCAACTATCGATGCCATTATTTATTACCTTTAAGAGTATCGCGCACTAACTATTACGTAAATCTATAGAGCGATCAGAGCTGGACTAGAAATCGCCCTTTGCATCGGTGGAGATCTGAATACACAATTTTGGAACGCACATGTCTTCATTCAGTCATAGCTCAATGCGTAGAACATCAAACGCGCAATTCGAAGGTAGTGGGATCGTATCCTACCAAAGAAAGGGTGATTTTTCGTCCACTTTACTTTTTTTGTGAATATTTACTATGCTACTAATAAAGGTAACAACGAAAGACCCCAATAGTTGTCTTCCTTTGCTAATACAGTTGTTGATTTCACTATAGTTGTGTCTGACATGGAATCGAACCCCCTCGAACTATTCCTTCGTCTTTCTTTCTTGGTCACTTGAGAGAGTGTGTAGGCAGCAAACGTAATTGTAACAGTGCGTGACGTGATATAAGCAGAATTTCGCATCAACCTCATTGTTCTCAGTGAAAGGCCTCCAGCTTCAGTGCAAATAAAGCAGAGAACGAAAAAAAAAATGTCGCCAACTCAGCGCCGCTGGCTAGGTGCACGTTCTATTTCCTAATCCGTCCACGTTAATATTCTTAACTGAGCATAACTCGTATAGCTTTTAGTACTCTAACTTGGCAGGACGTATCTACGCCGTATGTACTGAAGCAGCTTGGTTAACGCACCGACTCTGTATTAGGGTACGCTGAGAGAATGCCTTGGCTGAGAATCACCGGAAATCGAATATTCGGCGCTCTCTTCACTTAAGTGCCGTCACAAGCAGTTGCCGAACGACGTGAAACATGACAGAAGCAATTATTCAGGAATAACTGTGACGACGCTAACTTCCTTTCTCATGTTGATAATTGACGTAAATTGGTAATTGTAGAGTGACGCCCTCTAGACGTGGTACAGGTGCTTGGAGAAGTTAGTTTATTGACCCGAGAGCAGCGCAGTCTACTTTGCTGGCAATCAGTGCCAATCACGACCTTCTCTTTTCTTTTCGTTCCATCTTTTTGTTCCACTATCTTTCTGCTCAAATTATATTGGCACCTTCATTACAGGACACAATGCTCTCTCCGACATACTAAACCCATTTACAACTTTAACGTAGCAAGTTTTCGAGCTGCAATTTTGTTGTACGTTCCCAAACAAATCTCCTGATGAATATGGGCGGACATCCCATCGCCATTTTCAAAGATGACTAGCAGGTCGGAAAATTTCTTCCGGCTGACCTCTCATCTTTTCTGTCACAATGAATCTATCCCTCCCTCTCTCTCTCTCTTTGGAAAATGTAAAGGCAGCAACAGCAAACTATTACGCATTAGAGGTCAGTAAATCTTGCAAAGTGTACTGAAAACCACACGTCATGCACCTGAAATAATATATACCAAACAATTGCCCCTATACATGTTAAAACACACGCGAGCACTCGTTTTCTATATGGACCGACAACGGGTGCACAGAGCATGTATACTCCGTGGCTTGAAACAACTGCTTAACTATGTTAACCAACTCTCGGTGAGCACTCCAAACGCATGCCGGTGAGTACTTTCCGCAGAGCATGCCTCTGGCCTTGCGTGCACATACGTACCCACTCTGATAAAATGTGGAAACGCCACGGCGTCTGAAATTCAAATGAGCAACGGCATGTGAGACCAAGCACCCGCACCGAATGGTGTCTGAGTCAACAAAAACTATTTACATGTTGATGTGCGCGCTCGGCACTCGGTGGGTTGGGCTAATCTCCATTGCTAAAGCTGCGAGCTCACGGTTTACCATCCCAATCTAGTTGTTCGTTTCTTTTTCCTAAGCATTCAGTGTACATTAGAGATATCTCTTCATCTCGCCGTAGTCACCCGACATCACTATGCAAACTCGGCAGAGGCCGAGCTGATTGAATTGATGTAACCGGATTCCTGCAGAACCCACATTGTGCAACTGCCTTCGCAAATGACCCCACCCAATCACCCTCTTTACATTATTCAAAGCACAAGGTCCTTAGCTCTGCAAAAAAACAATCAAGTCATTCATTCATTCATTTATTCATTTATTTTTTCATTCATTCATTTATTCAACGCTTAGACACACGTGTGAAACCTAGCAAAATGCGATGGCATTAGGATGATTCATCTTGATATTTGTGTGAAGCCATTTTTCATTGAAAAACACTTTGCCGTCACTTCTCATCTAGAAAACAAGACAGTGCAAAAGTCACAGCAGCAGAGAAAAAAAAAGAGCACAAACAGTGCTGACTTACGCCATGGGTTCATTCGTATAATTCAAGGGTATCAAGCTCACCTCAGCTAGCAGACCACTGTCACGAAAGTTAATCCATAGATGTGCTGGGATGTTGAAGGTCGTGGGACCAGGGGAATGTTTATCAAAACGTCGGTTAGCATTGCGATTTGAAAAAGGCATTTTCCAAACCTCGCATATGGGTCATTTCTGGAGGGCATTTTGACGTTAGGTTTCGAGAAACACTTAGATAGTGATCCCCAGAATGTGTGAAATATCCAATCGGGAAGTCAATTCTGAAGCGCAGTTTTACAGCAAAGTTGCCGTGTGTCGTAGATGCAAATGATCATAAACCGGCACTCTCTCAATCCCCGCCCAAGCACTCGGTACAGCTGGTTATAAAAATAGACTGAAACTTGCTGCGTATAATCTGTGTTCGCCACCGCGTGTTCCCTTGTTAATTTTTGTTGAACATCTAAAAACTCACTCGATTTTATTAGGAGAGACGCCGTAGTGTGGGGATTCAGAGGTTTTGACCACCTGGGGTTCCTTAAACGTGCACCTAAATCTGAGCACACAGGCCTCGAGGGTTTTCGCTTCCGTCGAAAATGCGGCCGCCACGGCTGGGATTCGATCCCGCGACCTGCGGGCAGAAACGGATCCAGTTACTCATTTTAGGGGGGAGGGTGCGATCGCTTAAAGTAACACCGCCGGAGAGGGGGGGCGTGATCATTACTTTTTGTTGTTGTTTTCTTTACTAGCACAAAAACTCTAATATAGCATAAATACCATTAATGTGTGCTCAAAGGGATCGCACTCATTCGTCCTAATAGGTAATAGCAGGTGGGCGGCAAGCACTTCAAAGAGGGGGAGGGGGTACTGACAAGCTTAGGGGGGGGCAATTGCCCCCCCTTCCTCTGGATCCACCACTGCCTGCGGGTCAGCAGTCATCAGTCGAGCAACGTAACCGCTAAACCTCCATGGCAGGTCCTTTGTTAATTTTTGTGGAGCATGGTGGGGAGTAGCGGGTTTTCCCAAGTTTGTGTGACACATACACGCTATAGAGTTCTACAGCAGTGCTGCTATAATCGAGATTTCCCTATATAGGCGTAGAGAAATACAAAAAGACCAATAGAATAAAAATAATAAATAATAAGATATTTATTTATTTACAGTATGCTTCAGTCACAAAGGATCATGCAGGTGGTAAATTATATAATTGCAAGTTTATAAGCGCAGGGGAACCGTAAGACACACACAAGCTCACAGGAGAGGGATATTTTTTTTACATTACACTGAAGTCGCAAGGGTGCAGGGATAGTCTTATATAGTATAATGTAGTATAGTTTAGCATAGCATAACGTAGTGTAGTTTATTATAGTATAGTCTAGCTAAGTCAAGACGATTTATAGGTGCTCACCAGCTCAGCCGTGACTCTGCAGCCGTGCGCTACTTCGTGCAAGCTGTTCTTTTTGTTGTTATTGTTTCACAATTATTTTTTACGTGCGGTGACCAGACGGTGAGCCTCAAAAAAAAAAAAAATGCCGGAGACCAGCCACGTCTACGCCACTCCTGAATCAGGCTAGTCAGAAAGTTTTTCTTTTTTTTTCGGGAAGGGCCCACTAGTTGAGGGCCTCAGAAATATCTATTTTGAGTATTTAGCATAGGCAAAACACCCCCCTCCTCCCTCCCACCTTTATTTCATTTTTTTTTGGGGGGGGGGGGCAGATTCAGGAGGTTCCTTAAGGCTACCCCTCCTCCCATTGGCTACGAGCATGTCCCTAACTTATATTAAGGCAACATACATGAAAAAAAAAAAGACAGTCGCGGGTGGGTGTGATGCGTGTTTGAGACTCCTGGTCTATACCTTCGAAGTATGCATTGGCGATTCTCGTTGGTTGCTTTCATAATATATCATTGTTTCATTGTTTCTGTTTTCTTTTTGTTAAAAAATGCGCAAGGTAAACTAACCAACCGATGCGTGAACATAGCTCTTAATGCATGCACTGTCATAATTGTCTGGCTAATCTGTGCAACTTCTGTTCCTGTAAAACATGAACGTTGGTGGTGCATAGAGTATCAGTTAATATTAACTATTGATTACTGATAATAACGTGAGGAATATAGTATAGAGATCCCGGTTGCAGCGGCCACAATTTCAATGGAGGCTAAAATGCTTGAGGCCTGTGTTCTTACATTTTAGTGCAGGCTGGAGAACTCAAGGTGGTCAAGTTTCTCATGCCATTTGATACGGCGTCTCTCATATTCATAGCATGCTTTTAGGGAATTTAAAATACAGCTAGCATAGTGATAACGCATAACGACAAAAATTTGGGGACCCTTTGTGTTCTCCTTTAGTAGTTGAACGCGATAGCGATGTTCTGTTCCTAGTGCGTACTTCAAACACTTAGTGTATGAAGTATTTTCGAACTTGCTATGCACCCACTATACGTCGCCTCACGGGTGCAGTGGCCTGTGTGCCTTTTGTAGTGGGTGGCCCTCTTTATACCATGAATTCATGATAATCACACTCTAACGCCTGATCGCAATGTACGCTTGTGCCACGCATAATTAATGCGATAATAGGTGGTTGGTGTGTGGGGTTTGACGTCCCAAAACCACCATATGATTATGAGAGACGCCGTAGTGGAGGGTTCCGGACGTTTAGACCACCTGGGGTTCTTTAACGTGCCCCCAAATCTGAGCACACGGGCCTACAACATTTCCGCCTCCATCGGAAATGCAGCCACCACAGCCGGGATTCGAACCCACGACCTGCGGGTCAGCAGCCGAGTACCTTAGCCACTAGACCACCGCGATAATAAATGTTGTAGTGTGAAGCATGTATACAGGACGCTCGTCCTTGTTAAACTTGAGTTACTTTCACTGCATTTCCAAGCAGAGGAAGTCATTTTCACTGTATTCACAACCAGAGGCGTGGCACTGTCATATATCACCCCCATGCGACGCAAACGGCGCGGGATACATTCCCACTCCAACCGGGATTTATTATTGTTATTATTTTTTGCATCTTTTTTCAGTTTTTCGGTCACGCAAGATGCTCGATTTTTCGGTCACGCAAGGATGATTATTTTTCGCTCACAACGAACGACACCGACGCCAACGCCAGAATTTCTGCAAAACGAGATCTTTAACGCTATCGCTTCAATATATTGCGCCTCCGAGCAAAGCGCATGATTTGACCGGCTAAAGTTGCCCTTTTATATTTTTCGACGGAAAGAAGTGAAGTTTAGCCCCCCCTCCCCTTTGTTTTTCTTGTTACGCCAGGTTTTTCACTTTTTTGGTGACGTCTACCAGAAAACAAGAAAATGCCTCCTCTCCCCCCTCGCCCTTTCGAGGTTACAAGAGCAACCACCGGATTGATTACGCATTACAACATTGTGCTTGTGCGGCCACATCACGGAGAGGCCCTTAGTTCCGCACTTGTTTTGAGGGTTCCCTGAGCAATGGGCGACCTGTCGCGACGAACAAGAAACGGGCACGCAGAGCTCCCCACCGAGATCGGAGTCCTTAGAGGCGGAGTCAGTTGGAACTTAATAAAGACGGGCCTTGGATGCGGTCGAGTCAAGGCCGCGGCTGCTATATCGCGCACCGGGCCTGTGGGGCCCTGCTTATACGTCCTTCAAAACGCTTTCGGCAATTTCATGCGACCGCCGCAGCTATAGGTTGTGGTGCGGGCCCTTACGAATGCAGACATATTTCAAGTCAGTGCATAACCGCGGTGCCGAATGTCTCTCTACATTTTTCTTTGTTTTCTGCGACTGCTTGTTCTTTTCTACTCACACTTTTTCGGTACGGTTGTGCCAGTTATTGAGGTTCTCCTCATGAAATTTCGCAAGACCGCTAAGATTCCATTACTTCAACGATATTTGCTGGACAGCCCCGCACTGACTTCTCCATACTATAACTCGAGAAGGCGCGATTCCGTGAGCGTGGAAGGTCACACAGTCGTCAGGGAAGCTGTTGGGAAATCGAGAAATCGGTCCGCGAGGTGTTACGCCATGAGTATACATGACGAATGTGCAACGCCAGAACTGCGCGAAGAGAGGCACACTGATCAGAACAGTAGCTGTTTCCCATACAGTCTTTGTATTCTCCTTGTTCTGCATCGTCTACACCGTACGCTGCCAGGCATTCGGTGAACTGCAGCTGTTTGGTGAAAATCAATATACCGATTTCTACTTGCACTACACCGTCTCTTCTTGCGGCATGCCGATGGCCACTTCCTGAATAAGCCGCACGCAGCCTCACAAACGACCCCGCCAGCTGCCGTCTCATTTACTTAACCAGGCTGACGCGAAAGTTGTCCGTACTTTCCTTTGAGAAAGAAATGCTGAAGAATTTATCATTACGACTAGTGCAACCCTT